GACCAATTGGGTAGGCCAATTTTACCAAGCAACTAGGGTTCAAGTGGGGTAATTACTCTCTCGAGGTTTAACCCGTTAATTGGGACTACCATTTCTCATGGGTCCATCCCAATTTCTTGTTGGGTCAATTTTGGAGTCATAGACTTTCTTTCTCAAGAAGAGTCAAACCCACCAAGCTAGAATCAGTAACCACCAATCCTTAATGAAAACCTAAAATTAACCCAAATAGCAAACACCCAATATCAATCTAGCCTTAGATTGCAACACCCATTAATTACCCACACTAGGGTTGAACCACAACCCTAGTTAGTGAGTTTAGCTACTCATGCTAGATGCAAAAATTAAAGAAATAGATGAAGAAGCAAACATAATAATTGATTACTAAGGAAGAAATACAAAATTAGAGGTTAAAAATGCCAAAAATGGCTAAACCCAATGTTCTCACGAGCTCAGCAGCCTTCGGTATACAAAACTTAACCTAAAAATGGAAAAAGGATCTATTTATTGTGGCTGAAAAACTTGGACAAAAATACCCCTGCGGGGTCAGCGCGCTTGAAGATTGGCTCTCTGAAGTTGAGGATAGCGGGCCGCACAAAAGTGTAGCGTGGCCGCATGAGATCTGGCGCGGACCGCGTGAATGTGACCGCGGCCGCGTGGCTTGCTTTGGTCCCCCAATTTCATCTCTCTGAATCTCTTCACGCGGACCGCGTGAAAATGTGGCGCGGCCGCGTGAGCTGAACGCGGGCCGCGTAAATCAAACCGCGGCCGCGTTGTGAGAGTCCTGAATTAGCACTTCTCTGAATCTCCTAGTGCGGCCGCGTGCACTTTTGTGCGGTCCGCACTAGGATCTTTTTCCTTCACTTTTCTTGGCTTTTGATGCTTGAGCAGGTTTCACTCCGTTTTGAGCCGATCTTTGACAATTCAGTCACTTTGTCGCTCAAACCTGCAATCAAGCACAACCTGTGAGCATTTTGGGATTATTTTGTATCAAATTATACTCAAAGCATAGGCAAGTAAGGGCATAAAACACGTTAAAATCTTACTTATCATTCGCCATGCACCTTCACTGAAAGATTGCGTACAGCATGTGGAATATTGACGAAAATGTGAAATTTTCAAACTAATATATTCCAAAAAGACTTTCCTTTGGAGCTTGCATAAGGAACTCAACAAACATTAAATTGTGATATTACATATACATTTTCATAGTTTTGATTGCAAATGTATCTGGATATCTTCTAGCCATACCACTGCCTTCCAAGCCCTTTCATAGCCCGAACTACCAATCGCACCACTATCTATTAGTTTGGTTTGACTCGAACTTCTATCATGTCACGCTTCCTGACTTTCTTTGTGCTAGCCAATAAGTTATGTACTTAGGGGCGCTGACTACCCCTGCTCAATGCCCTACACCCTTCTCATGAGCGCTCAAGTTTCATGCATCCTCAGGTTTGGTAGGATGTGTAGGAAAGGATAGCGCTCTTAGTTAGCATAATAACAGAGGTACGAGATAAAAGGGGGATTTCCACTTTGCCTTACTCAAACTTGAATCGAGCTTTTACATTTTGGTTTTAACTTATAAATACGGAGTATAAAATATTTTACACTATGGATGAATGATTACATGTTATAGTAGGCTAATCACTTTATTTTTAGGTAACTAATCCACTTATTACTTGTAATAGTATCTCTTTTAATATCTAATAGAGTTTAAAAATTGTAAAAAAGTCACCGAGATATAAAACTTAATCCCAAGTTTTAAGCTAAACACATTAGAAAGAGATTACTTTAGGTTGTACAGGACTATTAGCTCTTTATTCTACTATTTATTTGAGAATGGTAAGCGTAGTGGTATATAAGCTAAAGCTTGGAGCGTCATCGACATGAAAATTGGAAAAATATTGTCAAGAAAATTGGTTAAAATAGCACGGTAGTTTTCGGATTGGTCATTCAAAAATAGCCAGCGTTTACCAAGTCAATGAAAAATAGCCACTATTTTGCTGTAGCAGAGACCGGTCCAGCATAACATACTGGAGTTCGGTGCACCTGCGTATTAACTCCAGCATATTATGCTGGAACGGTATACTTTGCTGGCTCCAGTATAATATACTGGAGACTGGAGCACCGGTGCTCCAAACTCCAGTATATTATGCTGGACCGGTATACTTGCTGAAACTCCAGTATATTATGCTGGAGTTCTAGTGTACTTATGCTAGAACTCCATCATATTATGCTGGAACTCCAGCATACTTATCTTGGAACTCCAGTATAATATGCTGGAGTTCAAGTATACTTATGCTGGAACTCCAGCATAATATGCTGGCGTATTTTTCGGGTTTTGAACAGTGTTTTCCCTCAGATTTATCTTTACATGAAAAGTGGCTAAATATCGATTACTTTTGAAACTGGGTTATTTTTGAACGACCAGGTGTACATCTGGCTATTTTTGAATTTCACCCAGAAAATTGAAGTTCAAACTGTTAAGAAATAGGCCAAATACATAGACAGCCCATTAAACTTGGCCCAATTTTTCATTTTCGCACTTTAACTCAGCTTTGTTCCATTTTGTTCCTCCTACCCCATTTCTTTTGTTCCACTTTGACACAAAAGCTGACTAGATTCCATGTGTGATTTGCTTCACCCTTGTAGGCACGTGAGAGCCATATTTTAAGCCAAATTTCATACTCCCAACGTAGAGGCGGATCCAGAATTTAAATCCTATGGATTCAATTTTAATGTTTTTAACATTGAACCCATTATATTTTTAAAGTTAAGGGTTTTATATCTATTTTTTTTTACAATTTTAATGAATTTTTACATACAATTTTTTACTCCGCGTCGAAAGTTATGGGTTCAGTTGAACCCATAGTTATTACTGAAAATATATATATAAAAATATTTTTTCCACGGGAGGGGGGCAAAAAAAAACGAAAAAAATAATAATTTGAAATTACAAAAAAAAGTATTTTTTTTGCGGGGTTGGGGGTGGGGTGGGCGGGGGGTGGGAGTAGCAGCTGGGTATTTGCACGCGCTGCATTTTTACCTGGGAGAAAAAATTTTGTGCCAAAATGGAACAAAAAAAATGAGGTTGGAGGGCCAAAATGGAACAAGGCTGAGTTAAAGTGCCAAAATGAAAAATTGAGCCAAGTTTAATGGTCTGTATATGTATTTGGCCTAAGAAATATTTCATCATCATTAAACTCTTCATTAAATAGGCCTGCGAACTTTAAACTCTGTTCTTTTATTACTTTTTTCTCAGATAAAAGTAAGCTTCACATTCTTCAATACAATAAAATGACGGCTATTAAAGGTTATCATTACATATTTAATACTTATTAAAGCTATTTATGTGAGCCATTATATATAGATATCCAATAAGTTCATACATATGTTAGCTTTTTCTCCTACCCTCTTTCATCTTTTTCTTAAATGAAAATGAAAACAAAATTGCTACATAAGACAATATTAAACATCTAAATCAAAACCTCTAAAACAGAAAAAAAAAAAAAAACATGATTAACTAATCAACCTTTTCCTACACTCTAACTATAAAGGTTAATATTATTAGCCTGATTTTGTCGTTCAACTTCCCCTTGAAATTGATTTCGCTTGTTTTTCCTATTTATTTAATGGTGGTAGGGTAGTGGTACTCTCTATAAGCTAAGCGTGGCAGTTCCTTTGACATATAAAAACTGGAAGAAAAAAAAAAGATTTTGTCGAGAAAATTTGCGTTCAAAATGTGCAGATTAAATAATATTCCTGATCATCATATATTTTCACTAAATAGACCTGCAAACTTTATTCTCCCACTATTTCTTTTCATTTATAAGTAAACTTCACTTTTTTCAATGTAAAAAATGACAGATATTCAGAGTGATCATTACATATTTAGTACCTACTAAAGCTATTCATGTGTCAGCATATATATATATATATATATATATATATATATATATATATATATATATATATATATATATATATATATATATATATATATANTATATATATATATATATTCATTGGCTTAATTTCCTGGGGGACTCTAGTATCAAAAATTCCCGGTATTTCGTCGTGAAAGTGTCACATTTAGATTGTTCTTGTTAAAGGAAAGAGCCGAATAGACAAAGGTTTACATGACCGCTCGCTTTGGACAAGATGCCATAGTATAAGAAGAAGGCCTTTGTTTGCAAAGATGACTTTCCCGCTTTCCTTTGCGAGGGAGGTTTGTGCACATGAATTAATAGTCAAAGTATAAGGAAGATGACATAGAGCATAGAATGAGATTGATGCTTCGAATGCCCAGTTTTCAGGGGTTGTGATAGAAGGAGCTGTGGCACTTTCGGAAGGGGGAATCAGACTAGGCTGTCACTGTTCTAGAAGAGGAAGCGTAGCTGGCACGTTGAACCATGTCTGTCAACGGTGAAAGATAGCCACTAACTAATACTCCTATAAGACAAAATCAAACATGTAAATCAAACCTTTTAAATAGAATAAACAGTTTATTAACTAACCAACAACTATAATTATAAAGGTTAGTATTATTACTCCCTCTGTTTCAATTTAGATGAGGTAATTTAACTCGATACGGAATTTAAGAATAAAAAGAAAACTTATGAAATTTGTGGTATTAAAAGCTTAAAGGGTAAAAGCTTTGTGAGATATGACATTTGTGTAGTTATAAAAGCTTTTCATTAAGGATAAAATGGATAAAATAAAAAGTTTAAACTTTAAAGTTGAATTATTTTCAATTGTAAAAATGTGTTTCTTTTTTGAAAGCATTAACAATAGTAGTGTCTTTCATTCTATAAATGGAAGAAAAAATATCAAACAGAAGTGGAAAGGGAAACAGTTTAACAAAAGTGCAATCAGTTCATCTATTCTAACAATAGTAGTGTCTTTCATTCTATAAATTAGACTAATTGACAAAATCCATCTTTCCAAGTGAGAACTGCACATATATAGAAAGTTAAAAAGTAATGTCTGAAAAGTATGAGCAGCTACCACCAGCTCCAGCCCTCAAGATCATCAGCACTAGTATTTTGCTCTATATTCACATCATATAATTCCTGATTTTGTTGTTCAACATCAGAATTACCCCATAATTGCATAGACAAGTCGAAAATTTCTCGATGAATAGGACGATCTCCGTCGGGATTATCTCCGTCTAGATCCCTAACTGTATTGAAATTATCCTCTAATGCTATGATCTTATTAGTTAAATCCTCTCCAAGAATTTTCAAGTTGGAAACTGAATCCATAATGTGATTATGAAGTTCATCTGAAGTAGGATATGGGAAATACCCGTTGTTGCAGTTGAAATGCCACATTGATTTTAAAATAGCCAAAACCTGATGATCTTCATCGTACTGATCTTCGTTGTTTAACTGATCATTATCATTCTGTTGAGTTTGATCTCGGCCTTCAGGGGTATCGGACGGTCCTCCTTTTTCAAATTTGGAAAATTTAGGCACTATGAACTTAAATTTGCAGATTTCAGACATTGGACGTTTTCCTTTTTCATCTGCTTTTCGTTTTTCTTCTTCGTCCACCTCTGCCTCCTCCTCTTCTTCATTGTCATTTTCTTCTTGATTTTCATCATTTTCACCTTCATTATCTTGTTCAGATTCTTGATTTCCATTTTCTTGTTGTTCAGTATCTTGATTGTCATTATGATCTCCATTTTCTTGTTGTTCAGAATTTTGATGATTGGTATTATGTTCTCTGTCTCCTGCATTCTCCGTATGTTCTTCTTCCTGTGATTCTCCTGTTTCCTCCTCCTCTTCTTTCTCTGTTTCTTCTTCTTTATCATTCTTGTTTTCTTGATTTCTGTCCGCTTCTCCTTCATTTGGTTTAGATTCAAGATTTTCTTTCTCTTCTGAATCTTGATTTCCATCATCTTCTCCTCTTTCATTCTTCTGCTGCCCTTCTTCTTCTTCATCATCGATACAAGTGTTGAGACCGAACAAAGCATAGTATTTCCGGGGATCAACATTAGTTCTGCATATTTCAAAAACAACCTCTACTGTGGCATTGTTAATTCCTTCTTCATCTTCTTGTTCATCAGTAGCAGTCCGGCGTCTTTTACGTTCAATATTTCCTGTGCAATTAGTGGAACAAGCGTCAGAAATAACAAGTTCTTCAGCTTGCTCCATAATTTGAGTGAAGGACTCGGGACAAGATAGATCAAAGGCTCCATTTTCTAGTAGATTTTGGTCCATCATGTCACCATTGTCATGTGATGGAGTTGAAGATGAGGATGAAACTCCTCCACCTTCTGGACTATTTGGTTCTTCATCTGCACCCAACATTTTGGATTTTGAGAGAATGAATATTCACTCCAAACACAAAGATGAGTATCAAGTGCAGTAGAGTGTTTATTTGAATACTTAATGAAAGTGACTCAAGATATTGATTTATAAGAAAGATGGTATGCTATGGTCACAGTGTAACATTTTCTCTAACAAAATCGGTTTAAACTTTACCCTCTCTATTTCAATTTCGAAACTAGTACGTATACTATCTTATTTTTAGTGTATTCTATTCCTTTTTCTTATGCAAAATTAATGATAAAATATTATTCTCTTTGAAAATTACATATTTTACCAAAATATCATTCGATTCTCTAGCTGTTTTAGTACATTTGCTTAAACAACGAGAAATATCTCTATAATTTTTCCTATCATTTTTAATTTGCTTACATAAGTTGATTTTAAACGAAAATTATATAGTACAAAAATGTTGGATCTCAAGTTTTTTCTCAAACACAAGTCAACTTTGTCAGTTTCTGGATAGAAAGAATTACAAGAAAATACACATGATTTCATACCATAACAAAAAATGGCCCATATTTTTAAGTTTTACCTCACCTAGCCCACGTTATACATATTTTAAAAACTGAAATGGTAGTTTAAATTCTTAAGCATTATGACCTTTCCATATCTATGTAGCGGTTACATATCCTCTCCAGGAAGAGGTCTTCTAAAAGCTTCTTCTTTGCTACTCGTGTTTTTCAATTACAATTGCTTAAAATTAGAGTGTCAATTGTTATTACTCCCTTCGTCCTATTTTTATTGATTTTAGTTGGAAATATTGTGCTTTTGAAAACACTAGCAAATTCAAAATTTGTGTTCTTACAGCCATTGCTTCTAAAAGTTATGGAGTTAAATCTATGTTCTCACAACCATTGCTTTCACTCTCTCTTCTTCTCACATCTTCTACATATGTTTCAAGGGACCTGCTTGCAATGTAAGAAAATTGAAGAGTAGAAGTCCACCATTGGAGACCATTCAAAGCTTTGTTTTTGAAAATGGTCTTTTTGAATTTGTTAGTTGTTTGGATTGGGTGTTGTTCCAATTGATTGAAAATATCAATAGGAGTTCAAAATTTAAATTTGAAGTGATTTGGAGTAGATTTGAGCAAGATTTGAGTTAAATTTCAGAAAAGACGCAAGGAAGAAGACAAAGTCAGTTTTTTGTATAATTATGTATAATCTTGTATAATAGTGTATATTAGTATAGAAACACAGCTTATACACTATTGTACACTTTTATACACCTTTATACAAGCGTCTGTAGACGAACTTCTTCCACGATTTTCAGTTGCAATTCTCGTTCAAAACCAGTCCAAATCTCCATTAAATGACTTCAAATTTTATATACAACCTCCTTATACTATTTCTAACAAGTCTAAATAACACCCACTCCAAATTTCTCACAAAATCAAATTCGAAATTTAAACCCACATATTTAAGCTTGTTAAAAATCTAATTTTCGCCACCCAAATGAATTTAGTTTGTTGAATTAATATTTGAGTCACAGTTAGTTATTGATTCGAAAATAAATTTAAAAGCTTGAGGAATCTTTTTGAAAAATTAAATAGTAATTTTGAGAATCTATTGGAGTTGGATGTTGAATCTTAGCCTATTATTTTTGGGCTAGTTGATTGTAAATTAAAATATGAGCTATAAAATTGAAAAGTAGGGAGCCAGTTATTCTAATGTGAAATTGTCCCTTCTGAATATTCAAGAAATTTATCATCATTACATATCTATCACCTTTATGTCTTCTTAAAAAATTTTCCAGTCTCAAGAAATCATCCTGTCATTGTTATCTACCTATCACCTTTTTGTGTTTCAAGACCCATTTTTCCTATTTTCAAGAATTTTCACATAGTCTCCTTTTATTCTCCTACGATCCCGCTTCTCGTTCCTCCACTATAAAACCCAACAGCCGTGTTGAAGAATTTTAAAGAGCTTCCTCACATATATATTTACTTCCACATAAATAAGGAAACAAAATTTTTGAGACACTTGAAAATTTATATCAATTATAAAAGTGTTAAGAATGAGGTAGGAGGGACAACAACAACAACAACAAAAAATCCAGTTTGATCCCAACAAGTGGGGTCTGGGAAGGGTAGTCTGTACGCAGACCTTACCCCTACCTAATGCAGATAGAGAGGCTGTTTCCAATAGAATTAGTATTGATGAAATAATTTTCAACAATCCCAAAGTTTTCTTATTTACATAAAGTCCCATCCTTCTCCTTTATCCCCAATTCCTCCTTCCACTCTTTCCTTCCTCTTCCTCCCGCCACTCTTTGTCACGACCCTAAACCCAGCCCCGGTCGTGATGGCGCCTCTCGTGAAGACAAGGCCAGCCGACACATTTCCAATTCGAAGTTAAACAACTAAACAACAATACAACAGGCTAAAACATGATTTAATAATGCTATACAGCGGATAATATCATAACAATGCGGAAGTACAACCCAAACGCAGTCCAAACCGGGGTGTCACTAGTCATGAGCATCTATTAAGTCTAAATACCACTGAGAAAGTCTGAAAGGCACTCAGTACAGTCTAATAGATTGAAGAGAGAGAAAGCAGTGCTGCGAACGCCGGCAGCTACCTGGCTAACTCCACTGACAACTGCCACCCAGCTCAGAAAAATACCTGAATCTGCACACAAGGTGCAGGGAGTAAAATGAGTACTGCCAACTCAGTGAGTAATAATCATAAATAAAGACTGAGCGATAAGAAATCACGAAAAGAGCATCATCATGCTGTATAGAAGCAGTTTCAAAAGCCAGTAGAAAGCAATGAAGTTGTAAAATTCCTTAAAACATCTTAGCTCAGTTTAAACCCTTTTGAAAATAACTTTTTCAACAGTTACGCAAATGAATGCAGAACAACTAGTGCAGATAGGCACAGAAATCCGCCCCTCGGGCACAAATACACAACTAAACAGGTAAATGACAGGCAAATAAGAAAGATAAGCACATAAGGTTCGCCCCTCGGGCACAATGTCAACAAAATCCGCCCCTCGGGCAATATCTCAGAACAGTACAAGCCCCTCGGGCAATCACATAGAACCATACCGGCCCCTCGGGCTATATCTCATATCACACTGGGTACCCGCGCTCACTAGGGGTGTGTAGACTCCTGGAGGGGCCCCTTACGGCCCAAGCGCAATATCAAGCCATCTCGTGGCATCATAAACAGGTCCTCGAGCTCATATCAATATCAAGCCACCTCGTGGCGTAAAATCTCAGGCCCTCGGCCTCATAATCAAATCAGTGTGTTACCGCTGCGGCGTGCAGGCCGATCCCAAAGATATGTATCACCGCTGCGGCGTGTAGCCCGATCCCAAAGATATGTATCACTGCTGCGGCGTGCAGCCCGATCCCAAAGATATCCTGACAACACAGGCCCTCGGCCTTACTCAGTCAAAAATCACATAAGCCTCTCGGGCAAACAGTAAAACAGTATTTCTCAGCCCAAAACATCAGTTAAACATCATTTGAGTATTAAAACAGAGTAAATATGGCTGAGTTTTGAAAACCGTGGAAATAACATGACTAAGTTCAAGTATAAAGTTAAAACAGTGAGGAAATATCAACGAAAATCCCCGAAGGGTTCAAATAGTTGGCACGAAGCCCAAATATGGCAATCAGCCCAAATCATAATGATAACAAATAAGTTTCAGTCAAATACGCGGTAAAATTATCAATCGGGACGGACTAAGTCCCAATCCCCAATAGTGCACGACCCCACGCTCGTCATCGAGCGTGTGTCTCACCTCAATATAGCACTAAGATGTGCAATCCGGGGTCTCAAACCCTCAGAGCATTATTTACAATCATTACTCACCTCGAACCGGCTACATCTCTAGCTCGCGACGCCTTTGCCCCTCGAATTGGCCTCCACGCGCGTCGAATCTATCCAAAATCAGAACGAATACGTCACAATATGCTAAGGGAACAAAGCCCAAGCTAAAACAATCGAAAAATACCAAAAATCTCGAAATTAGCAAAACCCGAGCCCCGGGCCCACTTCTCGAAACTCAAATTTTTTTACACCAATAGGTTCCTTATCTCCCCACGAGTTCATACATACCAAAAACATCCAAATCCGTCCACAAATGACCCTCCAAATCCCAAATCAAAGGTCCAAAATTCCATGCCCTAGCTCTTCCATTTGTAGCTTAAATTTCCATGATTTTCTAGGTAGATTTCATAATAGAATCGAGTTTTAAGTACAAAAATCTTACCTCAAGTCGTTTCCCCTTGAATCCCTCTTTAATCTCCTTCAAAAAGCTCTCAATATGATCAACTATGGGTGAAAATAGACCCAAAATCGCGGACAAGATGACTTAAAAACATTCTGCCCAGGCCTGACCTTCCTTCTTCGCGAACGCGGTCAAAGCCTCGCTTTCGCGAAGCACTAAAATAACGTTGACCAAAAATCCTCTTACGCGAATGCGACACAACTCATGCGAACGCGATGCCTTACCAGATGACCCTTCGCGAACGCGGTCGAACCATCGCGAACGCGATGGGTTAAATCCAACTGAAGCTCAATCCCTCCATTTCTTCCATGCGATTGCGACTACACTCCTGCGACGCGAACGCGCCCCATGCCTTGCGAACGGGTAAGCTAAACTCCCACCTTCCTCAGCTTACTCTTCGTGTACGCGAGGGTCCTCTCGCGAACGCGAAAACCAAAATGTCTGCAACAGCTGAAACCATTTTCTGCAATTTTCCAAACTCCAAAATGATCCGATTGACCACTCGAAACTCACCCGAGGCCCCCGGGACCTCAACAAAAAGCACAAACTTAACAATACCTTATTCAAACTTGTTCCAATCATCAAAACACCTCAATTAACTTCAATTCACCCAAAACACATCGGATTCAAGCTTAAGTTTCTAAAAATCTTCCGAAATACGCTTTTGATAAAAACCCCAACTAAACCACGTCCAAATGACCTAAAATTTTTCACACACATCCCAAATGACATAATGAAACT